CTTTCATTGAAAAGGAACGAATTTTTGGATCTCTTTTAGAACTGAAAAGTTCCTTTCATTGAAAAGGAACTAATTTTTAGATCTCTTTTAGAGTCAAAAAATTCCTTTCATTGAAAAGGAACCAATTTTCGGATCTCTTTTAGAGTCAAAAAGTTCCTTTCATTGAAAGGGAACGAATTTTCGGACACTTTTAGATTTGAATATTTATTCTTTTCATTGAAAAGGAATGAATTTTCAGACCTTTTTTAGAGCTGAAAAGTTCCTTTCATTGAAAAGGAATTTATTTTCAGACCTCTTTTAGAGCTGAAAAGGAACCAATTTTCAGATCTCTTTTAGAGCTGAAAAGTTTCTTTCATTGAAAGAGAATGAATTTTCAGACTTCTTTAGAACTGAATATTTGTTTCCTTTTATTGAAAAAGAATGAATTTCAGATCTCTTTTAGAACTGAAAAGTTCCTTTCATTGAAAAGGAACGAATTTTTGGACTTTTTTTAGAGTTGAAAAGTTCCTTTTATTGAAAAGGCATTTATTTTCAGACCTCTTTTAGAGCCGAAAAGTTCCTTTCATTTAAAAGGAACCAATTTTCAGATCTTTTTTAGAGCTGAAAAGTTCCTTTCATTGAAAGAAAACGAATTTTTGGACTTCTTTAGAGCCAAATATTTGTTTCCTTTCATTGAAAAGGGATGAATTTTTGGACTTCTTTAGAGCTGAATATTTGTTTCTTTTCATTGAAAAGGAACTAATTTTCGGATCTCTTTTAGAACTGAAAAGTTCCTTTTATTGAAAAGGAACTAATTTTTGGATCTCTTTTAGAGCTGAAAAGTTCCTTTCATTGAAAGGAAATGAATTTTCTGATACTTTTAGATCTGAAAATTTGTTCTTTTCATTAAAAAAGAATGAATTTTCGGACCTTTTTAGAGCTGAAAAGTTCCTTTCATTAAAAAGAAACATTTTTAGATCTTATTTAGAACTGAAAATTCATTTTTTAATAAAGCTTTCAGATTCAGATCAGATCAGATTTGGATTGAAACCGATCTGTCAGATCTGGATTTGAGATTCGATTTATCAGATTCAGATCAGATCTGGATTTCAACAGATCCATCAGATTCAGATTAGATTTGGATCCTTAAAAATGAAAATCAGATCAGATCAGATTTGGATAAAATCTGATCTGATCCAATTTTGTGGAATACTAATAAATGCGATAGTAAAATACATAAGAATCCATAAATAAATAGAAATACAATTTAAAGCAATCAATATTACAAACATTAATATCATTGGCAACTTTACAATGAAATCTTGTTTGATGATTCAGTATAGGCAAAAACCATTTTACATATACCAGGTAATGTTTACGTTTACCATCTGAAAAGTTTACTTTGTATTCAAAGTAGAATTGTACTTAATCAGAATACACATCACATATATTGTTATCATGAATAAATCTCGCAAGAATAAAAGAATTCTTGTAAAATTGTGGTATATTCGTTGATCTGAAAGTCTCAGCGCTAATCTGTATTCTCCCAAATTAGTTGATAGTCAGTTTAACAACAGTCTATCAACCGGAATGTCATATATTCATTTGAACAAATTCCGCAATAGTTACAAAATCTGAATTATAGGCTGCATTATAATATTCTACCAGAATATTATAAATGTTATCTGGTAAGTTAACATTACTTTTTTGGAGGGATAACATCTCTCCTAGGAAAGTTTCTGAACCTGTAATAGTATCATCTATTTCCAGATGATAGATTTGCAGAAAATGAGCTAGCTCCACATATTCGAAATTGTCATAAGCGACTAAGCTTCTCACAGTCATTCTTGGTTGTATGAACTTCAAGTATTTTACAAGCATCTGATTATCCAAATGACATGATATAAGGTCATCCAGTCTTCAATTGTGTAATATTATTCATGATAATTTAGGCTCTATTTTATGATTACTGTTGAAAAAGAATTCTAAAATTCCATTCATGCATTCAAAAGAGTAACACCAGAAGTAATACAAAGGACCATAATCTCGACAACATTCCATAATATGAAGAGATCAATGAACATTTGGTGTTATCATTACCAGGCCATAATTGTCTTCGATTAAATGAGCAACTATCAATAATCGGATATGGGCTTCTTCTAGTACACGTTCATTGATAATTTTGATACTAATAAGAAGCAAGCCCTTACAAAATTGGCTAAGATTTTCTGATCTCTTTCATCTAAAAGTTTCTAAAGTAACAGAGTAGCGTAAACCATAATGAATATCCTTCATTGATCTGCAGTAAAACCAGAAAAATCTTCTCTAGTTACAATTTTGCATAAAATCATTTCAAGATCCGCTGATACCTTAATCATTTTTGACTATTTTTCTATTAGTTCTAGATCTTGTTTTATTAGTTTTACACCATCTATCTATAACCTCTTTACTATCTAATGAGCGATGCCCAGAAATAAGTAATGCATAGGATCTATAACTAGATGCCTAATTGGATCATGATAGGGTAATCTAAGCATTTCAGACCATCTAATATAAGTTGTTTTAACATGTTATTTTCTATCTTCTTTTGTTTTTTTAGATTTCTAAATAGTAGCATTGCAACGATGCTCTTCTAGATCCCACATTCTAAACCATTCGGATATATTATCAAAACTCCCAAAATTAGCTTTTTTTCCATTAATACTATCTGCACGTTTATAACACCTGTGATAATCTATTAAAGCGAAAATGTGTCCACATAATTTTCATGCAGCTGGAATATCATTGCTGCAACAGATTACCGCTAACCTGATTCTTCTACCAACAGGATGCTGGTTAGTAGCTGGTAAATCTATACCATTCTAGAATTCTAGCAATTCATCTATGATCGGGGCAAGATAATGATTTATTCGATGTAATTTGACCTCGTTCAGTCTTGGTAACAAGCCAAGAGTTAAAATATTTTCTTTTTTAAAGCGAATATCCCGTGGTAGATTAAATATAATACTATATATTACACCACTACTATATAAAGATAACTCGAATGGTTGGAATCAATCGAGATTTATCATTAATCCTAAATGAGAATCGACTGTTACAGATATGAAAAATCATTTTTAATTTACATTATCCATATGTGATGAGAATTTTCACCATATTTCACCATCATAGATATCAGAAAATAAGCTGGTTTCATTATCCTGAGTTACCCATTTCTTTAAAAGTTCTTCAAAGTCTGACCTTTGATACATTGTAATTATTTGAGTCCTTAGACAAGGCAATAGATATATCATTTTAGGACGCCATATATATCCGTCTGTTACTGAAATTTTCGTAAATAATTTTGCCTTACAAGCTTTCTGTTAATTTCGCATTGGATGATTCAGAAATTTTACATAAGAGTATTTACATTCTGAATTCATCTGATTTATTGTAATAGAATATATTTTATTGCATTCAGGATAGGTAACATATGTTTTTAATTTTCTTTTTATATCTAATAACTTCCTTGCCATATAAGCACTTGTAGGAAATTTTTCAAATCGTTTTTCATTAGTATCAGACAGTACTACCCTGAAAAATTTGATTAATGAATCGACTGCAATATCCGGAAGCCTGAATCTTTCTTGATATTTAAAGATCCATAAAAGAATCCAAAAATCATTCATATTTATATTTGTGAATGTATTTTCTATATCTGATTCTTTTACATATTTAGGTGTTGCAAACGATTCATTATCATTTAACAATAATTCATTTGAAGAAGATTCCTCATCAACTGACTGAAATTCTTCGTCATCACCAGAGGAATCAACTTGTTGTTCATATTCTTCATCTGAAATGATAATGGTATTGTCACTAGTCATACGAAACTGATTGTATTTTCTTCGCTTTTTTCTAACATTATTTAGTTTTATAGCAAAATTATTCTATCACTAATGAAGCTATCTTCATCTGACAAAATATCATCATTGAGGTCTTGTAAAGAATTGACCGAATTTGATAAAAAATCCTCATCTAATGAAATATTGTCATCAAGTTCTTGTGAAGAACTGGCCAAATTAGGTAAAGAATATTTGTTTAACAAAACATCACCATCGAGGTCTTATGAAGAACTGGTCAAATTAAGTTGTATAATATCGTCATTGTGATCTGAATTTTGCGAATTAATCCTAATAGATTTTGATTATATTTTTAATCTAGAGGTTTCTGTTTCTTTTTTTTTCCTTTTAGAAATAGAAGCTTTAAACTGATTATATTTTATTTCGTGGGTTTTCCTAGTTTGAATATCAACCAAATAACCATTATATTTTATGCAGTTACATTGCACTTTCAGTCAAACTTTTGTATGTCTTGTAACTATTGCTAATTTGTTATTCAATTTTCGTTTGATTATTTTTTTTAAAAAAAAACAAGAATTAGGCAAAAAAATTTAACAATCAATAAAATTAAATATATATGCTGATTTTATTCAACATTTATATTAAAAGTATGTGAAAAAGTATAATTTGATAAAAGTTTAATCAAATAGAACAATACCATTGATAATAATTAAAGTTTATTGATCAACTAAATCAACTTAATGATGAAAGTAAATTAAACTTTTAAAATTAAATTAAACTATTTAAATTATTTTCCTTTCATTTTTTTTTAGAAAAAAAATATTTTCTTTCCGCTTCATTTATTTTCGATTTTTTTACTTTATATGAAATATGATGTCAAAACCTCAAACTTCATCCCATATTGGTCATAGTCAAAACAGGAGCAGATATTGAAATAAAAGCAAAGGAAGAGGAAGAAGCTTAACAAGTTAAAGAGATAATGATAAAAGCTGATCTAGAAGAAGGAGTCAGAGAAATGGGAGGAAAAAGAGCCGATATTATTCACCTGACAGAAGAAGATATAGAAAGCAAAGACGGTAAGTAATATTAAATGATAAATAACACAATACATTCAATTTTCAATGGTTATTAATACATTTCATTACTCAACAAAGTTCTTCATCTTACATTAATCCAGATTCTTCAAAATCAAATAGAAGGTCTCGTAAAAAATATGGCTGTGGTCGTGATAGTAGTTTTGATGATCATGATGATGATCGTGATAAGTAGAATTATGATGAAGAAAGTAAGTTTTAATTTAATATTAATATATGTATCAACTATATTATTAAACAATTTACATAAATAGTTAAAACACTTCTAAAAGACAAGAACATCCAGGAGATACTACAACATATGTTACAAAGTAAAAAATCAACGTATCAAGATCAATCAAGTAACAATGATGGAGATGATAATAATAACAGTAATGATGAAAAATCACTATCACGATCAACTACTTTCAATGATTCACAATCACGATCAGTTATTTCTGATGATAAAACCAAATCTATTTTGAGTTCTGAAAGTTCTTTCAGTATTGATCAACCTAAATATTTTCAGATGTCGGATTTGTCAAAAGATCGCCGAGATTCCTTAAGAGTAAGAATTTTTATTCATTTTCACTTCAATATATATACATACTAATTATGGATATATCTTTATCTTTATTTACAGCAACAAGTATTTTGGATAATTAATAGAATGCCAACTTCTAGCCGCTTAAACTTAAATCATACATTTGAATCACAACGACAATTAGTAAATAACACAATCGTGCTGGCTGTTATGTAAGCTCTGAATATGGAAATATTTCCTGTTTCAGAAAATATTGTATATGATATGCTACATATCAGACATAAGCATCAATGTGAGAAGCATTTAAAAAAACAGCAATCAGCCTCAATACAAATTCAACAAGCTAAAAGAAAACACCTAAATAGTCAACGAGCTAATGTGAGTAAACCGTTTCTATTTGATTTTTCATTCTTCATTGATCTTATTGTATTTTATAATTACAGAAATGAAACAATAGAGCAAATGTGATAGAGCATCTGATGGCTATTGACGATCCATTAGTTCACATTTTCAAAGAGCGAGAACTTCATCTGATAATGAATAATAATGTATACCATTCGCCTGAAGTATCAGAATCTGATAAAGAATATCTATCAAATCAATGAAAGATAATTGTAAAGGACTTAAGATGGCATTCTTCGACAGTAAGACATGTAAATTTTATTAATATTTATTATAACATTTAATTGTAATTAATCTATAATTATTTGTAGTTATGTTCATTTTTAAGAGATTATATTGATCGTATATTCTTGGAATCTTCAAAAATCCCAAAAAAGCGAACCTGAATCTACGACAAATATAATTTTTATGATAAAGAGCAATCAGCTCCTTTCAAAGCACCTAGGTAGACTTTTTGGGACTACAGTAGCTCATTGATGACAGCAGTACAAAGAGTGTATAATAAACATTCTTCAAATACACTTCCACAATCATTGACTTTACCACTTACTCCTAATAGTTCTGCTGTTTCTACTACGTGTTCTAATACTTCTCATACAGGTTCTACTCCTACTATTGGTTCTAATAATCCTAATAAAGGTCCTCCTCCTACTACCATTCCTACTGCTTATACTACTGGTTCTACTATTTTTGGCTCTATTAATGTGTTGAAATCGGACACCAACAGTATCAAAAAAGCATCAATTAGGAACATCAAACAAAGACATGAAATCGAAGAAACCATTAATCGACCTCTAAAAAAGTCTAAAATTGGAAATAGTAAAAACTGATCGGTAGAACGAACAAAACATGAATTGGTTAACAGGAATAGATCAGAGGAAACTGAGGCATAGATGGCCATAGCCGATAATGATTCGTTTTAAAAATTAATAATAATAGTTTATTTTAAATTTAATACAATATTGCAAAAATTAATATTAATAGCATTACAAATAGTAAAATAATGTATTCCGATATATATTCTATAAGACAAATAAAAATAATTCTGTACTAATAAAATTAAGAAATCAATATCGATCAGAATTACTGATTGAATGAAATAGTAAAATTCTAGTACAACCTGATGTGATTTTATTTTTCTTTTTAATTATAAATTGGTATTATTCATTTACTACAATCGGTAAATATTTCAGTTCAAATAAACAATCTGATCTCGCATCTTGATTGTAGAATATTATAAGCTGATTGAAGCCATTAATTAACCAAAATCGGCATTTATACATATTATACAATATTTAATTACTGTTATCCTATCGAAATCCAATAAGACATGCTATTGGAATCTGATTGTATGCTGATTTGTCATCATTTGACTAGTGTAAAGAAAATAATAAACCTTAACTGATTGTCAAGAAATAGTCATATATAGCAATAATAAATCTTTGACAATTTTCTTTATCTATTTCGCTGATTTTTAATGAATAGTATAGGCGATCGCTGAGAATTTAGAGTAAAGTCATCTTTTGTATTTTGCAATTCGTTAGTCATTTTCTTTAAACAAATACTTTGTGGCTTTTACTCGCTGAGCTGTTTTCTAATAAATAATAAATGATATTAAATTATTAATTCAAATAGACCTAAATTCAAAATATATTCTATTTGTTTACTTTATGTATTTGATTATTATTATGAATTCATCACACCCTTTTCGCTTTTCTTAATTCTCTGAATTGATTGACATGACTTATGAAGGGTTTTCAGCTAGTTCGTAAGTTAATCAACAGAAGGCTAAAAATTCAGAGCTAAGGATTTTTATAATTTTAGAATCAGACTAAGACATAAGGTGGCATTTTTTTACTATTGAAAGGTTCGTCATAGTTCAAATCGTTTTTTGAGCTAATAGTTTTCAAAACTGCCTTCATTTCAGCCTAAATACAAAAAGCAGAAAATAAATCAGCTAAAAATTTAAATTATTTAAATATAAATTTAAATATATCGACTCCTTTTATATTAGCTTTTCTATTGTTAAATTATCATTGTCTTCAGAATTATTTTGCGTTGATTCTAATTCATCATCAGTACAATTCACTAGCTTTTTTTCCTTTGATTTTGATGCTGATTTCCAATTTTTCTTCATTTTACAGGAGGACTAGTATTGGACTGCCTCAATGATCTGGGTAGTCGTAATCTCTCAAATCAGTCAAGTCTTAAATATTAAAAAAGAAAATTAGTTATTGTAAATATAGAATATTAGTATACAAATTTTTATCTCTCCTGTAAATCTTTATTTTCCTTACTGAATTCCTCGTTTATTTCAGTAAGAAATCAGTTTTTTCTCAAGAGATCAGAATTTTATCACTCTAATTTTTCAATTCTTTTAGTAAATTTGGCAAGTTTTCTTTAATATTCAATTCTTTATGTAGAAATAAAGAAAATATATTATTAATTATAAAATAATGAATGGAAATAAATCAAAAATAATATATTTAATTTTAAATTGTTCGAATTATTAAGAATCTCAAATTCAGCTGTAGTTAAAGTACTTGCCATTGGTTTTTATCAAAATTTTGATGAAAGCTGAATTTCCTTATATCATCTTTGCATTTCTCTTAAATCTATGTCTATAATTTGAAAAGTTATTTAATATTAATATAAAAATAGTATATTGTAACTAGCTTATAATCTAAAACAATCAGCTTATTCTTAGACGATATTGTATGAATGCATTTTTGTCTTTTTTCTATTATATAAAAATAAAAAAATCAGTTATAGTTTGAAAAATTGACTGGTTGATTGATAAAATTTAACTTATATTCTGGCTCTTCATCAGCTGATTTTTTTATTAGAAGCATTTTGTTAGTGTTATTTGCAACTGAGATTCTATTATAGAAATTAAAAAAATTAGTTATCATTTAAAAAATTAACTGGTTAATTGATAAAATTCAACTTACATTTTAGCTTTTCATTAGTTAATTTTTTCATTGAGGCATTTTGTTAGTGTTATTTGTGACTGGAATTCTATTATAAAAATTAAAAAAATCAGTTTATCATTTGAAAAATTGACTGGTTGATTGATAAAATTCAACTTACATTCTGGCTCTTCATCAGTCGATTTTTTTCATTGAAAGTGTTTTAGTGATATTGCTAGCGACTGAAGTTTTATTGTAAAAAAGCAAAAAAATAGGTTTATCATTTGAAAAATTAGCTGATTGATTGATAAAATTTAACTTACATTCTAGCTCTTTATCAGCCGATTTTTTCATTAGAGGTGTTTTGTTGGTATTGCTGTTGATTGAGGTTCTATTATAGAAAAGCAAAAAAATCAGTTTATCGTTTGAAAAATTAGCTGGTTAATTGATAAATTCAACTTACGTTCTTTTTGTTCTTGTAACGATTTTTTTGGTTAACGTTTTGATAGCATTTTGTGAAAAGAGAAATTGTAAAGAAGAAATTTGATTGTAAAGATAAAATTTGATTTTAAAAAGATAAAGTTTAAGTTGAAATTATTTTTTTAAGAAGTAAGCTTATTTATATAAATTTTCATATATATGTTAAAAATAAACTCAAATAGTTATATCAGATAATACATTAAATCAATATAATATTTAAAGTAAATCGAAAACAATTCATTAATGTAATTAATACTTTAATTATACATTAAATAAGACTTAAAATAAATTGAAAATAATTTATCAATACATTAAATCAAAATGAACTTAAAGACAATTCTTTTATCATACATTAAGACTTAAAGTAAATTGAAAACAATTATCAATATAATATAATACTTTAATTATGTATTAAAAAAGACTTAAAGTAAATTAAAAACAATTTATTATGCATTAAATCAAAATACACTTAAAGTAAATCAGAAATAATACTTTCATCATACATTAAATTAATACAAGATTCAAAAATAATTTATCAATGCATTAGATCAAAATACACTTAAAATAAATCAGAAACAATACTTTTATTATGCATTAAATTAATACAAGATTCAGAAACAATTTATTGATGCATTAGATCAAAACGAACTTAACAAAATAGTTATAAATATTATAATTATTTTAAAAAGGAAATTTATTTAATTTTTTACACTTACTAAAAAAGGAAAACAATAGCTTAATATAATAATATAAATATTTGCGAAACTACTACATCTTTTTAAAAAATTATAAAATTTAACTAAAATCATCCTCAAAAATAACTTTATTTCAAACTTTTATTTTCCTCTTAATTTCTCAATTATAAAATAAAAATGAGCTGAAAAGGATTAATTTATAAAATACATGATGATGATAATAATTTATTATCAAGTCAATCTTCTAATACATCTTCTTATAAAAGAAATAAATCAATTCCTAGATTAATCAATAAAGAAGATGTTTTTACTTTTTAATCTTCAAATACATCTTCTCGTAGAAGAATAAATGATTGATTGGTAATTTAACTGATAAAGAAAATATATCTACTTCTAAGCCATTAATCTTTTGTAATACTAGAGTTAGATATTAAAATTCACAAAGTTCTATTTTAGATATATTTTATCAATTTGGAATACAAGACGAAATGGAAGAATTGTCAACATTGACTTCAACTGGATGAATTATAAAAATTGTTGAACATGAATCTGATAATAGATATCAAGAAGATTTTGATTCTACTTTTTTACCTCAGAGACGTGTAAGAAAATATACAAATTATCCAAAATCTAGCATAAATCCTTCTGATGATCCTGAAATAGAAGCTAATTAACATTCAGAATCTTAGAATTTACCACTAAAGAAGATTATATTACAGGTGAATCTCAAGATAATGATATTTCTGTAGAGGATGATTTTGAAACATTTGAAGATTATATATTACTTGATTATAAGCTATTTTAAAATCTACCAAATACAGAATCAATTGATAACTAATTTTTGTGGATTTTACTTTAGATCTTATCATTTCAGATAAGATTCAACATTACAGTGTCTGCAATTGAGGTGTTAATAAAATTTATGAAATTGGTTCTGACAGAAATCAGAGGTAACGAATTTAGAAATTTTTCAAATTCAATATACTTAACAAAAAAAGCACTTGAATTAAATGACCGATTTCACCATTTTGTTTCTTGTTTCAAATATCATAAGCTGTATCAAAAATAGGAAGTGGTGAATTTTCAACAGAATAATATGCTGACTGTAATAAAATATCAGCATGTAAAATTTCCCAATTCGTCAATTCACAAAACATGATTTTGTAATACTTCATTATCTCAAAAAATCATATCAATAAATCAAACTTTAATTTAACTTAATTTAATCTTTCTGTTTTCTGGAATTTGATAACAACTTACTTTTATATATCGTTAAAACTAGCCTGAGATAATAGACAAATCGTCAGCATTTTGACATTATGACTGATATATATAATAGTGAAGTATGATAGACATTAAAAGAATCTTCACAAGAAGATTCGACAAATTTTTTTCAAAATGAAGTGGCTGATTCTCAACTTAGATTAATACTAAATCTCGACTGGTTTCAATCATATGGTGGTACTATTTATAGCATTAGAGTAATATATGCTACTATATACAATTTGCCTTGTGATATCTGATTTAAACATGAAAATTTACTGACTCTTGGTCTTTTACCCAAACCAAGCGAAGTCAGTTTACATAAAATAAATTACTATTTAGCGTCAATTGTAGATGAATTAGAATCACTTTAGGATGAATTTACAATAGATAAAACATATGAATATCCTGAAGGAAAGAACATTCATGCAGCTTTAATTCTTGTTTCATGTGATATACTGGCCGCTAAAAAAATATGTGAACATATTTTGATCTTAGTATCATATTATAGATGCAAAAAGAAGGTAAATTATAAAAATTATTAGC